CATCTCCAGGACAATCTTTTTGACTCATCATCCTCTATTATGTCTAATGTGATGATTTGATCTTCTTTCGATCATGGTCTCGAAAGGAACTCTTACCGGAATCTCATAAAAAACGATACAAACAATTGTCAAATTATTCATACACCTACATTTGTGAGAACATACAAAATAAAAGATTAAAATTGCACCTTGAAAATATTTAGTGGCACGCCATGGACTAATTACGTCACAGATGTAACTGTAGAGTCAGCTGCGCTGACTTAATAAAAACCTCAGTCAATATTTCTTTGAAATTTCCGTTCACTGTTCGGCGAATGTAATATTCAGGACACATCTTATCATCAAAGGGAATAAAACGTGATTCACAAAAATATTTTAGTCTCCGAGTCAACTTTTTCAAAATTATGAGTATGCAGTTATTTATATGGTAAAAAGTTCATACAAGCATGGATCCGCAAGGCTTTCATTTTCGAGATACATGGCGTTGAAAATGAATTTTTATTTTGGTATTTCGTGAATAAATTCCAAAATAATTTCGATATTTGGATAAAAATTGGTATTCGGAGACTTTTTGATATGAGAAATTCAAATTTAGTTTCAGTTTAGCAATTTATTGTAGGGGGCGCCACCTACATGTCTTGGTCTTTTTTGGGGAGTCACAACAACAAGCAGCCATTTTCGAGATTTGATTTAAATTACAGCACCGTCATGCATAAACCAAATTTCATTTCGTAGTCTAAGCCACCACATCTTTCAGTAAAATAGAGAAATCTTCTTCAAGACAAGGACAATATCTTTCTTCGTTTAATTTTCCCGGAATAAAGAATGGGTCTATAAAATAATCTTCCAAGGATTCCTGCCCACACAATGAGAGAGAACTGATCTTGGAAATGTGATGCCTGTATCGCATGGGAGTTTTTCTTTGATCACAAATGATTGTTGTGAAAATTGCGTATAGCGTTGCGTGAGAAATTTGCTACGTCGGTAAACAGGATTTGCTTTTCAAATAAACAATTGGAGAAACCAACGACAGAAGTTGATACAAAACGGAAAGTCACGAGGGAGGAGTGCCTGAACTCTTTGAATATGGTAGAGATATAACAAATTATCAATTAAAATTTTCCACACCGGAACATGAGAAATGTTCAAGTCACTGCTACTTTTCTGGGGCTTGTTTCCGGGTGTTATACCAGATTAAGAACTGCTTTCTCGGTTGCTGGGGTTCTTACCGTCCGATGTGCATCCGAAACCCAGTGTGAATTCTTGAAAAAGTGTTTGAAGTAGGAGTTGTGCGGTTCGAATAACGCTCCTGATACAAACATCTAGCCTCATATAATAATAACATAGGTTTTTATTTTCCATAACTAATACATATAAGTCAAATTTATCAAAAAAATAATAAAAAGATCAACATTAATACATTGGGAAAACCCCTAACATCAGGTGATATGTATGTCTGGTGAAAGACAGGCCTCTGCATTTCAGTTAGCAATTCCGCTAACTGTATGTCAGCATTGGTGCATTGGTGAAGTTTACTATTTAAATACAAATAATCACACTAACAACAAATAAAACTATCTAACTATGCGTGAAGATATTATTTTTTTACATGAAAGCACAAAAACAAACATTGGAATAAACTCACTAGCCCACTAGCCTAGTTTCATTTTCAAAGAGTTCGCGAATCCATGAGGCTGCGATTGGATGCATCGACGAATTTAAATTAAAATATCTTGAAAATGGCTGCTTGTAGCTACTTTTGACAAGCATATCTATTTTACGTAAAAGTAATAAAAGAATCTTTTTTTCCTTCTAGCAAATGTGATACATTTTGCACTCCTCAAAAGAGACTAAGACCTGTAGCTGGCGCCCCTACAACTAAGTTCCAAATATCGACTTTTTTTTTCATTCATGAAAACCCAAAATAAAAATAAATTTTCAATAACATCTATATCAAAAATGAAGGCCTTGCGGACCCATGCCTATAAGAACTTTATACCTTAAAAATGACTGAGGACACGTATACATAACATAACGTAATTCTGCATTACGGCGAAGTAAACGTTACTTCACTACTTCTGAGGAGGTTGAGCCATGAAAAAATAAAAAAACATCAGTTCAAAAAACACTTTTCAGAATTTTCGTGAAATCATGATTTTGTTTATGCATTGTTGCTTTCAGCATTTAGGATCCAGCATACCGATCTGTTGTTTCTCAGGATGGTTCATTTCGGGTAAGAGTCTGATCGTTTCGGCCACAGTAATGGTTGGCATTTTTTCTCACTCAGAGTTTTTATTTTCACTGCTACGGTTGAATCAATATAATTTGTGGCTGGTTAATTACTGAGCAAGAAATGGTCACATAATTGATGTTTTTTTAATAGTCATAAAAAACATAATTACATAAAAAGTATAAGCGAACTATAATAACTCGTTTCAGGGAGATCGTTTCACATATTCGTAGACCACAGAAATCTAGTGTCGCTCAACGACACAGAGAAAACAACATGACAAAAGATTTTTAGGCGCCTTCTAAGATGATATGAGGTGAGTAATACAACTAGGTACCTACGAATTTGCCAAAATATGGACAATTGGAATGAAAAAGTCCATTAGGTTAGGTACACAACATACTACAACTAGGTTCTTGATGCAGATAAGGAATTGAAAGGGTATATTTTTAGAAGAGATAAATATTTGGGAAAGAAAGTTTTTGGCCTTCTATTTTTCCATATTGATACAAGAAATATGGGAATCTTCCAAAGAAAGGAAGGAAGCAAGCAATTTCAAAAGAAATTACTCTATACAAAGATGTGTAAATCATACAAAGACGTAGGTAAGGTTAGGTTGGGTCCAAAGTGAGTGAGTCTATTCGACCCATCACCGCAACCCGCAAGAGTTTATTGTGGCTCAAACCTATTCACACTCGACCAAGTAAACCCAGCTTCTTAACGAAGCCGATTCGTTTGTATGGTGAGTGGTCTTTCAGGCCAGATGTTAAGAGTTCGGCTCTGCCGAACTCTAAAAACCTTATTCGGTCCCCAGCGGGACAAACACAAAGTATGTGCTCTGCTGTTTCATCATTTTCCAAACAGAGGCGACACACACTGTCTTCCGACAGTCCGAGTCTCTGCATATGATGATTCAAATGACAGTGACCTGTTAGACATCGTAGTTCATCCCTACCGTAGTCCAAAAACTGTTTGGTATCAAGCTTCGAAGGGTGAATAAACGCCTTGGAGTGAGCCACTTCTGAAAGATTCTGCCGAAAATCCAGAAATCTTCTTGCCATCCAGGCGTTCAATGTTTGTTTGGCAAAGGCTAAAGCGCTGCCAATGAGAGGTTCTGGTCCAATGAAGCTGTTTGCAGCACCCTTCTCTGTAGGGGAGTCAGCAGCCTCATTGCCTTCCAAGCCAGTATGACCGGGAATCCAGATCAGAGACAATATGTTAAGTCTTCCTTTCGAGGAAAGTCGTTCACCAATTTAGACGTTGCTCGGTAGGAGTCAAGAGCTTCCAACGCCGCTTGACGGTCCGAGAATACCGTTATTGACTTGTGTATGAGGTTGGATTCATCCAATCTCTCCACACACTATTCAATAGCGTAAATTTCCGCTTGAAATACAGTCGCATAGGTTCCTAGGCAGGTTGATATCTCTGTCCTGGGTTGCGACTGAAAACACTTTCACCAGAACCGGAAGGTGTTTTTGATCCATCTGTGAACCAACAACTATCTGCTCTTAATATTTCCTTCTCCCAGTCACAAACTGGAAGAAAAGGGCCTCTCGAAACAGCTATTTTCATATAAACATTCACTTACACGTTACACGAAACAAAAATACTTTCGAAACGAATACTTCCATATGAACGCTGATTTATACGAAAACGATTTTTCTCTATTTCGTTTGTATTCCAAACATTCGTAATGGAATCAAATCAGATATCATTCACAGGATTTCTACAGAGTTAATTTTTTGAATTGATTGCTTCCTTTTTTTGGAAGATTTCCATATTTTTTGTATGAAGATGGAGAAGTAGAAGGCCAAAAACTTTCTTTCCCAAAAGATAAGGTAATCATCAGAGAAAAAATCCACTAGGCAAGTTCACATATCTGTTATTCAACATATTGATTGGTTTGTTTTTATCAAATTTGTTATTTTTTCAATGAAACAATTTCTGCAGTGTATTATTGTCAATCAATTATAGATGGCAATATAAAACAAACAAAAACGTCATTCTTTATGAAATATAATATTTGAACATCATAAATAAACATGAAAAATAGTTTTAGTAATGGATAAAATTTAGAAATGGAAGTGAAATGGCATTTAATCAACCCTTCACATTCTACCAAAATCGTGAAAAAACATTACTTTGAGTTTTCCCCGAAACAGCTGATTTGTAGTTAACTAGTAGTGAAAAGAGGTCTTTGAACAGCGACAAAGTTCCCATTTCGAATAGTCCTTTGTTTGCTTTTTTACATTAACACCACTGATTAACAAGTTGAGAATAAGTTTCAATAACATACTATTAAGAACACAATAATGATTAGTAATGAGAATTAATTTAATGACACACCTTACCAGAATGACGGTTCATTCGGATGAATATATTGTGATTTAGTGGTTAGAAATCAGATGACAATGACCTTTAGGATATCATTTATATTATTTAGATTATGATTTCAATCATCGTTTCTACCGTACATTGTAACTTAGGAAATAACAATCAAAATAAATTTCATTCACGCATTTGCTGTGCGTGGAAATAAAATATTCTCCTTGTACGTTGTGCCAAAGCTATGAGAAGCGTTTTTTATCAAACTCGCCCATAAAAGTACTTAATTGCCACCTGAAACTTCTAATGTTCTCATAAACAGTATGTTTGATAAACCGTCTTCGAATCAATCAATAACAAGCATTCATATCTAGCAATTTTCATGAATAATAGTGGTTCTGAAAATATAACTTCGCCATTTAGCCTTATGTAGTACAATATTTACCAAAATGTTGCAGCCGACAGGGGAAATGCATTTTCACGAGGGTTGGGTTTTCTGCTTTTCTTGAGACCAGCGTCCATAACAAAGTACCAACAACAGCTTCTGGTCTTACGAAATTCTAACTGAAAAAATAAAACATATTTTAGTTCCACAAAAAAATATTTTTCTTTATTTTTCAAGAAAAATAACACGACGTTCATAAATGTGTTAAGTTTTAAACATTATAAATTATGATTTATAGGAGACATGTGTTTCACTTTCTTTCTCCAAATTAATTTTGAACTGAAAATCTTTCTCAATTGAACAAACTATTTCCACTTACAATTTTCCCAAAGTCCCAAATGATTTACGATTTGGCAAGTGTACTATTACTCTCGTTGTGGCATTCAAAAAATACTCTAAAATTCTGTGTTTTCTACTTGGTCAGAGAAGAATGAGTGGTATCAAAAAAGTCCGTCTTAGGTTTGTCAGCCTCATCCTTCAAGGTGTTACTTGAAAAACTTGAGAATTCTTTTAAAGGATAATACATTCTATCGTGTATGTATTCAAAGCTGCTGAAAGATTTTAGGTACTCATGAATTTTGATTTTATAGGTAGGTTATGAAACCTATTATTACATTTTCTGATGAAATCATTTGGCAAATTCGCAAATTCTCCATAATCGGAATGGACGTCAAAAATTTGTTGTTTTCCATAATAGGTGATATTGATCTAGGATTCAATAACATGAGGCAATGAAAAGTGTGGAATATTTTCGGAATTCATTTGCAAAAATTCACAAAAAAAGAATACTTTTTGATTTTATTTTCGTTACATAGAGTTATGGGAGAGATTGTCTATAGTCATGTTTGGATCATATCAAAACAAGAAACCACAATTAAATTCACTTTGGAACTGAAAACGACATTTTGGTATAATACCCTTCTTATATGATTTAACATAAATGTTTTGAGAAACACCAAAAGATATTTCTATATAACGGATGACTCTGAACCAATTTACTCCCCCGTATTTTTATATGGATTTTTCAAATTCGATACTTCGATTTGATGTTATGAATGTACAATTATCTTCATAAAAAATAAATAGGAAACAAAAATATGGAGGTTTTTTTATGTTGGAGTTTCTAACCAACATAAAAGTTAGCATTTAACAGAAATGAGTGTATTGATGTTGAAAAATGGAGAAAAACTAAAATTGTTAGTCTGCATGAAACTTACTGTGTAAAAGGTTTGGCCATAAATTATTGTTACTTACACGATATTGTTCAATCTTTTATAACATACTTTCATGAAAATGTTCCGTTGCGAGGGGAACACAAAAAGTATTTTTTTATGAAATCTCAATTACATCGGCAGATTGTGAATTGGAAGTATGATTGTGACATATCATTGGAAAGGTAATTCCAAACCGAATCGTAATTTGAAAAAATATATACTTTCCATTTGAAATATAAAAATTGGATGCGCTTCCGGTAAAACCGGAAGTGTCATATTTGGTTTGATTCTTGCTAAATTGTACATTCATAACATCGAATCGAAGTACCGAATTTCAAACATCCATATAAAATAACAACGAAAAGACAGTGTGGCAAGTTGGTTCGTTGGTATATTGCCAAAACAATAAAAACATATCTTCAGATATACTAATACTATCAATCCGCCACAGCGCAACACGGGTGCAATGCTGATACTAAATATAAATTCATGCACTGGAAATTTAAAGGCATGGGGAAACAGTGATGAAAAGATAACTATATTTTATGAACGCATTTATAAGTATAGGAATCGGTTCAATTGGTATCACTCTAGAGAAACTACTTTTCCAAAATTTGTTGAAAAAATCACTTGGTGATTGAAACACGTATCGAGGTATTGGAAATAACTGTTTGGTGTTGGGATAAAACTCCAGTAATATTCATTACTACAGCAAAGGTTCCAAACAGTGCATTACAAGTATATAATATGAGAACAACATTAAGAATAACGTTAACACTGAGCAAAAAATGTCTTATTGTTTCTATTCTTAAAGAAAGATATAACCATTGAAAAGATGTGGCAAGACAAAAACGTTACAAGTTCAATATGAGAACATAGGCTTTATCGGCGGATTCACGATTGAAGAATACAAAATCAGAGCTATGGTCCGTGGTCCAATGAAACATAAAGTATCAAACTTTTCGTCTGCTACTGTGGCAGATATCATCAGTGATACATGCGTTTACTGCGAGAAAGTTCTCACAGTCACCTTCTGGAGAATGAAAGCGACTCCCCACATTGAAAGTGTTGAGAGAGGTTTACGGATGTTTGAGTCAAAACAATTGTAGACCTCATTTCAGCTAACTTTGTGATTGTTATGGATAATAGATACAAGTTAACCTTCCAGAAAAGTTGAAAGAATACAAAGTAATTCATTGAAAGCATCGGATATCTTTGAGTGGTTTTAACAAAAAACATTCCAATTGATGAAAGTATCGTTGAACAAAAAAAAATTGTTTATCGTATGTTCAAAGAAAGTTTGTTTCACGGAATATGTAGTAGCTAATATGGCACAGAAACGAAATATTATTATTCTGCGTCTGCCGCCTCATTAATCTCAACCTAATACCATTGAACTCGTTTAGGCTCCAATGAAGGGTTTCTTCGCAAGAAAAAACACTATATTCAAAATAAAAGATGACAAAATAAACATTGAAAAGTCCTTAAAAATGATGATTTCGAATATTGTATTGAAAATGTTATAAAAGAAGAGGGCAACATATGGAAATGGGATCGCCACTATCACCAGTTTTAGCCAACATATATATGGGGTGGTTTGAAATTGAATAAACCCACGAGAAGCCCTGGGTCTGGTTGAGATACGTTGACGACACCTTCATAGTATGAAACCATGGGAATACAAAACTAGATACCTTTCTGAAGCACATCAACAGCGAAAACCTTCCATCACCTTTACAATGGAGAAAGAAATCCACAACGAATTGCCATTCTTAAACGTATTGGTGAAGAGGATCAACACTAAGTGGGAAACATCTGTATACCATAAACCCACTCACACGGGACAGTATCTGAATCACGAACCCTAACACCATCAATCTACCAGAAGAGGAATAATCAAGACTCTTCTGGTTGAACTTGCTTTCGGTCTCTGTAATACGAAGGAAGGTCTCGAGATGGAACTAGGCATTATGAAAAACGGAGTGGTTACCCCAAAGTGATGGTGGAACGGATTTTGACAGCAGACAGCAAGAACCTCACAAAGAAGAGAAGCCGCCACAACCAGTGCTTGTACTTACCTACAGCTGCCGGGCTGAGTCATGGCCGGAAGAAGCCCCTCCCTCAAGATGTGTAGAAATCTGTTATCTGTCTGTTATATTTTTGGAGCAGTTAACATTCAAATTTCTATTTCTTTTTTCCTAATACTTTCTTTGTCATACACCGACCCAAACTTTACGCAGATTCGATTTCTCCCACCGGCCATGACTCAGTCCAAAGCTATACGTTAGAGCAGTTTCGGAAAACAAACATGCGTAGATCATGCAAAAAAGTAACTTTCAAACACAAACTGGAAGAAAAAAAAGCCCTGTCGAAACAACTTTCGTATTATAAACACTGAATTACACGAAAGAAAAAATACGAACATTGTTTTTTCTAAGAGAGAGAGAGAAGTAGAAAGTCAGAAAGTTGATTTTTTTTGCTCCAATTCGTGTTGAACACGGTAAGAGAGCGGTTCCGAAAGTCTTCCTTTTTATACTGATACACATTTTGTGAATTTCTTGGACTATCAGATGTCAAAATTAAGCAAAAACGCACTATTTTCATTAAAAAAAACTTGTTGAATGAGTATTTTTGGTAAAAAAACCTTCTTGGGTGAATATTTTCTTTCAGTTGTTGTGGTGAAGGGTATTTATAATAAATTTTTATTTTTTTCACCCTTCACTAGTTCCCCATTCTTTCAATTTGGTAGAGGAGTAGACAGCTATAAAGGATCATTTCCATAATTCACCTTGATAAAAAACTACAAGTACAAAAACTACTATGAAAATTATCAAATTTTATCCAGAGGAGAAAGTAAAATTATTCCAAAACAAATTTCAGGATTCCGGATCAAGTTCAGTGAATACCAAAAAATAACAAAATTGTTACTCACCTAAAATTATAGCGATTGTTTTTGTTATTGATAATAACTATACTGTAGACACTGTTCTGTTCTCTTTCGTTTTTATTGAACATTGGTTGAATAAATCGATATGCCAGGTAAACAGTGGATTGTTTGCACACAGATTAACTCTTCTTGCTTATTAAAAATAATGATAATGGAATAGAATGGGTATTTTTTATTTGGTAAACATTTTTGGGGTCAACAATGGGAAGCAAAGGATAAACTCCAGATACGGTATACAGATTAGAGTGGAAATGTAATTGACTGATTGACATCGTAAGATTTTTATAGAATTGTTTTCCTGTTCAAAAGAGACGAGTCATAATGTTTTCGTATATTTTGATTAATTTCCCGCAGTATACAATAATTAAATCTTCATACGGCAGATAATACACATTGAAAATATACATTAGACTAATTGTTGCCAGGGCTGCGCTCGCGTAGAATTTGGTTTTTCACATTAAGTTTCGTGACAGACCACTTTAAACAAATAGTTACAATATTTTTTTATCAAGCCAAAACTTCAGGTTTCCAAATTCAAAACTGACGAAATTCAATACAATCTTTGAACCCCTATTTTTCTCCCTTGGGGGTGGAAATTTCTGATTCCCTTTTTTGATGCTTATTTACGCTATACAAAGAACCTACCTGCATATTTCAAGATTCTAGGTTCAGTAGCTTCGGCTGTACGTTAATATAATAGTGTCAGTCAATCAATAGGTCGGTTATGGTATAAGTATTTTGGAATGCCCATGGTATAATATTCATCAACGATCTTGAAAAGGAAGAATCCATCAATGGCGACTATTACATGTCGTTATTGGAGCATTTGAAGGATGAAATCGCGGAAAAACGGCTCCCTTTGAAGAAAAAGAATGTGCTGTTTGAAATTCAAATTGCTTTCACATCCACCATATTCCCAAGATCTGGCCCCCAGCGACATTTTCCTGTTCTCAGACAT